TTAATCATAATCTTCAAGCACAAGCCTCTACAAAATACTTGGTGTTTACATTGATTACAAACTTTCCTGGGCACCTCATATTGATATCATCTGTGGAAAGCTCTCTCATGTTTGCTATATGTTAAAAAATGCAGTAAAGAAATCTTAAAATCCTTCTACTTTGGTTGTTTTCAGAGTATCATTATGTATGAAGTAGAATACTGGTTTAGATCTTCAGAAGCCGAAACAGTCAGAGTATTTAAGCTTCAAAAATGGGCAATAAGATTTCTAGTTAATATAAGGAAACGAGACTCCTGCCGACATCATTTTAAAAATCAGAAAAATTTTGACGCTTCCTAGTCTGTAAAGTGTTGTGCTTTGCTTTTAAAAATAAAAGCCTTTTTACTACGTGTGGGGATCACCACTACTACGAAACACGTAACAGAGATCGTTTATTACCAAAGAAACACTTTACTGCATTGTATCAGAAAAATTTGCATTATAACACCTGTAAGTTCTTTAATGCATTGCCTCAGGTAATTAAGGATGTAAATAATGTGCACACCTATAAGAGAAATGTAAAGCAATTACTATTTGAAAAAAACTGCTACTGTTTATCTGACTACTTTTTGTAATGTGTGTAACTACACGTAAATCGTCTTTCTTTTTTCGTTATTCTGTATTGTATTGTCTTGACGCATATTAACATATATATCTGTTGTATGTTTTTTATTAAATATATATATATTTTCTTGTATGGTTATTGTTGGGTAGGTACATTTTATTGAAGGTACAACAGTTTCGATTTTTATATATATCGCTGATTTACGAAGATGCTGTTAACTAGTTTATTTAAAATGCAACTAATTACAAAATAATCCAAAAAGTGTTCCCTTATTTAAACTTAATGAAATGTTTAGCATGAAAACTAGCGAAAATAGTTTGACCGTACCCATAAACGATGTCTAATTACCAAACATTTTTTCACATTATTTGCAAATTTTTTCTGTTCTATTTACAGTATCTGTTAGACGTGAATTGCTCTTATCAGTTTATTAGATCATTTTTTTTACATTTATAACTTAATGTTAATCGGTATATCTCCAAGAAGTTACAGTTTTAACAACAATTCTTCTTTCAATTAGAAAAAAACCTCTTTTCAAACACCGATTGAAATATTGTATATCTGCGTTGCTACAAAAAATTCACCAATAAAAATGACAAATTTTCTGAAAAAAAAAAATGATATCGTGTAGATAGTAAAACGCTAATCAAAACTTGCCTACTAAATGTCATTTAAATTTCATAAAACACATACTTCTATGCTTGTGGTTTATAAATCCGCCTTTAATATTACATTAAATAAAAAAATAAAATAATTAAATTTAATGTTAGCAGGGTGAACGAAAGCCAAACTTTACAAACGATGGACCATAGGAAGTGTATTTATTTGAAAAGTAAATTGTATTTTTTGATTTTGCATGAATTGTGGCAAAAGCCTTAAAGTTTTTAGAGTTGTTTTTATTTTTAATTTCCATTTTTGGAATATAATTTACTTTTAATAGATATTATTATCGTTACAGGATAAATCCATGGACCGGTTAGGTATCAGTCAGCCGCGACTCTTGAATATGCGCACATAATGCAGATAATTGGTAGAATTATTGTCACTGTGCATTATTATATATAGGTAGTTAGTAGTTGTGTATTTATCGTGTTAGGTAATAATAAATTTCATTTGATTTATTGACGAAAAGCATGTCCTTTACAATATATTATACAAAGTCGAGTTGGATATATTGAAATTATCACAAAAAAAAAATCACTACACACTAAATTGCAAGTTGACAGAAAATTATTCACCGAACAACGCAATGCATAGTTGCTTGAATAAAAATCAACAGAGCAAAGGAACTGATCTGACTGTATACTGTGGGACATTTAAATAAACAGAGAAGGTCGCATTTTAAACATGGAACAAATTTTGACGAATTCACGAATTATGTGTTCGTATTTTAATAACAAATCGCTACAAAATATACAGTTCAATTTAAAAATACAAAGCTGACCACTGTCTGCAAAAAACTAAACGTCATTTTTTTAGTAGATCACCATATTTTATATCTTTACACGTAAAACTAATGTATATGTACTAGTACCTCTGAATGAATCATACGTTTGATGATTTGTAATTTTGAATGTAAAGCAGAATAAACTACATAAATATATAAGCGATAAAATAGATCAAAACCTTCTCGGTGGAATAAAAAAAAAATACAATATAGACTAAAGAACTGAGGAGTTTAACCAGGTTTCGATGAGTTGAAACTAGTCACTGATTAGTTATAATTTTTTTTTATAAAATACCGACGCTTCATGAGTAATGCCGAGCCACAGTAGAGATAACAATCAGTAGAGACAGCTCGTGTCGGCGCCTTTGTTCTTTCTGACCCGAATTTTAAGCCGTCATGGGTGGTCGTTCCCTAAACTATTCCTAGATGTCGCCACCCAATTTAAAAAGTATCACTTAATTTACAATTTCAAAAATTGATTCGTGTACGCAATTTATTGCAAACTGTGTAGTTTGCTCAAATCGTATAAGCGTGAATCGCAATAAGAAAAAAGAAAAGTCGATATTTAATTTATAAACACGATGATTTGTTACAGTTTTTATTTTATTACTTACACAATTTGACAATTCGCACATTCTTTCCCCGAATACTTGAGGTTTAATTATCATTGTAAAAATAATGTAATAAATTCATCTAAAAAGAAAGAGGTTTATTTAAGAAAAAATAAATAAAATAAAAATTAAATTACAAAAAGGAAAAAAGTTAATGCTGCCAAATTATTTTCTTTCTATTAATTTTTTCACCTTTGGCATTTGTAAATTTAAAGCTAGCATTTACAAATTTTAGTGCATAAAATAATCTCATCCTAGCATACAAAGCAAGCAAATAATCGTATGGAAAGTTTTGGCATGGATGAAGAAATGTAGCTTGCTTATATAAATTTAAAAATTTCAACAAAGTAGTTGTTTGTAAAATTATATTTTCAAAATTTTCACTAAAAATTTGCTCTAATTCACAAATGTAAAAAAAAGAAATTATCGTTTGGCATATATAATTTACCAAATAACTCGCAATTCTTCGTTTGGTAGGCTCTGAAATGTGAATATATGCTTCTGTTGTCTAAACTTTTATGTTTATTTGCATATTTTTCACATTCACTACAACTGTGTACTAATAAACATTCCGAATTAGGTAGCCACAGATATATCTAATTGCGTTTTGTTCAGCTGTGTGAAAGTGATAATCACAATCTTTTAAGGTGGTCTTCTGCATCGTGGTGACTGATTCTTCTTCATTAAAACGACGACCTACATTTAACTTTAAAATTTCTTCCATATCAGGCTCGCAGTTTTGATTACCTGTGTTCGTTTCATCAAAATAATCTTGTATGATTAATTTTCTAAAAGCCATTTGAAATTGATTAGATGTGGGGTTAATAGAATTTCCATTTTGTTTCCTAATCCATCCAAAACAGTTTTCTAGTGCGTCTGTCTTGGCAAAGGCGTCTTATTAATATATAGTCAAACCCATTTTACCTAAGAACTTAACCCGTAAGCGTAATATCATATAAAGTAAAATTTTTATTAAAAAAAAATTATTAAAAAAAAAATGCATATTTGTCGGCTCACATAAAGTGCAGGTAATTGGTATGGGTCGACGCAAGTAAGAATAATTGAGGAATTCATGAAACCGGAAGTCCATAGGGATTAAGCGAAAAAGAATATTTGACAAAATGTACGGCTTGAGTCATTTTTATCCACGCGCGACTGCTTATGGGTTAAGCAACGTTTCAAAATAAAACTCAAGATTGTGTAGGTCAAAAAATATATATTGTACATGATGAATAAAAAAATTGTTTATTGAGAGAAGGTCTGCTTATATAATTTTTTGTTACGTGTAGTTTGTTTCTTATTATTTTTAGGGATCTTGTATGAAAATTCATCGGACAAAGATTTTACCTTTTATTGTGAAAATTACATTTTTACACTATTTGTACAATTCTACCGGAAAAGCAGTCTTAAACAAGCAAAACCGGCAAAAATATTGTAACAAAACTGCCAAATTTCAAATATTTTAGACGTCAGTTGGGCGCCCTCATTCGGTCATAATGCGAACGACCACCCACGAAAACGGGTCACGAAAAACGGCGAGCTGTCTCTACTGATTGTTATCTCTACTGTGGCCGAGCCTTACAAACTTTAAATGCAACCAGTAAAACATGTTGCACTGCTACTAAGATATTTTTTGTGCAAAGGCGGACTAAGTTTTATACGTAGGTAATTTTTGTTGTTGTCAACATCAATGATGCCTCTGAAAATGTATTGTGTGTTGCATTTCCAATCCTGTAAGGTACAGTTTCAATCATAACACATGTGGCGAGCAAGTTGCCTGCGCTATAGGCAACCAACCGTACGCCTGCAAAGAACACCGCTAATTGGCTGGCGTACCACGCAGAAGCGAAAACGAGAAGCGAGACTAGAAAAGGCCTGATGGAAGCACAACTCGCTCTCTCCGCCATCGTCCACAGAAGCAGCAAGATCACAAGAACACCGCGCTCCTCGTCGCCGCAGAGTTCCAACACAACCACGTTGCTTAAATGTCATTCGTTGTAAATATGTGTACATAAATAAATCCATACCCAAAACATCCACACACATTAAATTCTCCAAAAGGTTCCTGCGGAAAAATTTTGAAGAAGTACCAAAACGTGATTACGTATGAGGCCATCCAAGAAATAAAATAGGTATGCGTTTTGGGGAAATGCAATCAAAATTGGTATTGGTACTAATTTCTATGATAAGAAATTTTAAATTTATTATTAATAACAGCACACAACGCCTTTAATGATGAAAAAAAGTACTTTGGTACAGACTGAGGAAAGTGGAATTTGGTTGAATGCAAATAAATTGTAATTATGTTTACCGGTTTATATTTTATTTTATAAGGTTACCAATTGTCAATATTTTCTATGGCGTTAGCTATTGATAAGAGAACGACTATCTATGCAGTTATACAATACCGAAGGTAAACTAACATAATGTTTGGAGGTTTTTGCTGCTAAAACGGTTTTATCGTTAGTTCGTGAACCTAGCAAAAAATAATTTGTATTAAGTAATTAATAGTTAAGCCCACAGACCCTAGACTCACTTGAACATGCCCTGGCGTTGACAAAACGTATACAACGCCGTCAGCAATATCTTCGCCTTTCATAATAGCTCGTTTATTAAATTCCTCTCTAACGTCTGATGGTAACTTTGTACCTAAAGTAGTTAGCTCTGTAGCTACCAATCCAGGACTGATACTCTACAATGAAATACAATCTAAAGTTATATTTTTATATGGATATTGCCAGTAGATACTTATTATAATGTAGTGTATTTATGTAACACTACTTCCACTCACCGTAACTCTGATTTTAGTACCAAGACCGTTCAACTCCTGCCTCAACGTTTCAGTCAAAGCAGTAACAGCAAATTTAGAAGCCGGATAGACATTAAACTGAGGAGTATAAACTCGATGACCACCCACACTGTTGATCTGAATAATATGACCGTCATCAATCATGTATTTCAGGGGCGGCTCATGACTTGAAAAGTTGATGAGGCAAAGCACAATACGCTCCAAAATATAAATAAATCAAGATTACTTAAATATTTTCTACTTAGTCAAATAAACAAATTTGTAAACTCATTTAACTGTCCACCAAGAACCAACGTGAAGGTGTAAGGAACTCTTGTAAGGAAAGGATGGGAATGACAGGACAAAAGGAAAGGGAAACGTGGTCAGAAAAAACTAATATAACTTAAAAAAAAAACAAAACTTTAAAGAAAACGTATCGAAAAAAATCAAATACAACATAAAATAAACCTATTTGATTTATAACAAAAAACAAAACGAAAAACATATAAAACATAAATACTCTGGATTTATTTTAATCTTTTTTATAGATCAATAATTAACGATTTACTCAAATAAGGAACCGGCCGTTTTAATTCCTTAACTACATACAATTTATCATCATACGTGAAAGTAGAAAAAACAGAACTGCTATTGTCATTTAACGTTAGAGAAAAATTCCGATTTACTATAATCTTAAATAACGATTACCGAAATCAAATTATGACAAGCACAAAGCACTAACGCGACACACACAAACGTAGGCACTCTTAAGACAAAATTCTGTTACCGAAATTTTGAATCAATTTATACACACACAGATTTGTGGCAAAACAATCAACGGCCTAATTTTGAATACTTCTGCAAATGCAGACTGCATTGGAATCGCACGATCTCCGCGCGCAAATATTGTTGTCCATCTCTTTTGCAAGCACGGAAATGAGGCTAGCCTCAATTTTGTCTTTTTTCAACTCATACTGCTTATGAGTGTATTGCAGGTTGCTTGCCTATTAACGATATGATTTCTATATCCGCTGTAGAGGCAAGCTCCGAGTTTGCCTCATTCGCGTCACAAAATACATGTTGTGTCGAGTGTTTCAGCGCGCTGTTTAATTAAGGGAGCAACGAGTACCTACTGAGATAAAAATAAGAATATAATTTTCCATATTTATTTTTAAAATTTTAGAAAAAAGACACAAATTATTGGCCGAAATGTGTCGTTAAAAATAGTAAAAATCCTAATAAGGCGTAAAATTCATTGGTGAGGCACTGCCTCACCTGCCTCATAGGACAAGCCGCCCCTGATGTATTTCTTCATTGAACTTACTGCTTCTCTTGTAGTTATACACAAACCCAAAACATTTAGATCGAAAACTTTCCTCCAGTCTTCAGTACTGGTATTTGTCAGTCCACCTTCAGTAGCCGTTCCAGCATTGTTGATAAGAACGTGTACTGGTCCTAAATTATCTTCAACCCATTTGAAAGCACACTGAATATCTTCCTCTTTTCTTAAATCTGTTTTAATTGCGTAGAGTTTCCCTTTTTTGTTGTTGAAAGTCTTAGCAGGTTCTTGGATTAATTCTGGGCAACGTGCTAGTCCAACAACCTGTGAAAAGTGTGTTTAAATTTAAAAAAGTCGTTTTGGATTTCATGATTTACAATTAGGCCGTTTTCAACAAGTTGGTCAGCGATGGCAGCACCGATTCCAGCACTAGCTCCGGTTACAATGGCTACTTTGCCTACCCATCTATCCATTGAATTTACCATTGTCGTAGGCTGCTCGTTATGTAGTGACCAGGTTGGTCTTTTTATTACTCAACGTTGACAAAACTGTTTTAAAGGTGTATAGATATAGGTGAGAGCTCGTCGATTAACCCCCACTACATGCACTTCATAGGCGTCCGTAAGACGGCAACGGAGACTACATAGCTATCGTTTCGGCCGCACGCCTCTGCTGACTAGTGGTGGGAGTAAAAAAACTTTAAACCGACTAACGTTGGTATCACGTTCTGTAAACTTGAGTAAACAGCTTAGTATTTTGAGTAAACAAGAATTTTTCTTTTAGAATTTGGAGGATCTGGCAATTTTTTAAAACAGTTGTTTGCTTTAAGTTTTTAGGGTTGTAAGTTGCAATAGTCAAACGAAACTAATGCGCTTATTAAGAGAACAGAGATAAACAAACAAAGAACGTGCAAAAATGATGATGTAAAAGTGTTTAAAAATACGAAGAGTGTTATTTCTGACGCAAACAAAAATTGAAGGTCTGATAAAAATAATGAAGAAGCCAAAGATAGAAATAAAGGATAAGAAGAGCAAATAGAGCGAATAACTGGATTATGTACAAGAAGTTATGTAAGAAAGCTAGATGATAATTATGGAAAAATAAAGTTATTATTTGAAAACGCAAGTAAGCATGGGATATTTGGTAAAGGAATATTGAGAAAAGAAAAAAAAGAACAAACTCATGGCTTCTTAAAGTCTAAAAAGATGTTTAATATAATATAAACGCTGCTTTGGAGTTTTGAAAAATCGAAAATAACAAATAAAAAAACATGAAAGAACAGATGGATATAAAAATAAAAATTATACAGAACAAGTATACGAGGACACTGGGGACAATCAAAGATAATTAAATTGAATAAAAAAATTATTTACCAAATTATATATAATTAACAACGGGAAACATAGGTAATAACCATTCTGATGGAACCAGCTTTAGCATAAAAAGTGGAATTTAAATCGGTTCATCCCCTTGAGAGCTACGGTGTCGCAATGAAACACACACAAACACAAAGGGGTCAAAACTACTACACCCCTATTTTTCTATCGGGGGTTAATAAACACATGTAACCACGAATTTTTGGGAAATGGATTTTGGATTGCGTTGCCAATTCTGTTGGGCTCGTTATTACTTCTGAGTAATCCTGTAGACATTTGTCGGACTTATGTTTTTGTGTACAGGTTTTTTTACAATCGCTGCCTAAAAATTCGTTCGTCAAGCAATTTAAAATTCATCGAGTCTCTCTCGGATATAATATAACTGTACAAGTTTAAACAAGTGTTATGCAACTTAATACTAAAAAAATATAATCACATTGAATTAATTGAGATTTATCTTAATCAAAATCCAAAATTTGCTTAAAATATTTGCAACACTTTAAATTATATAAGTTGATTTCATCATTTACAGTCAAATATGAATAGCAAAATTAAAAACCTTGCTGTATCACGATAAAAATTGTTTACAATGATATAATCGCGGGTTTCTATTTAAGCGGACACGTTGCACGTTTAAATTAGTTTCAACGAACAGCACTCACTGACAACATCGTATTAAAAATGGTTCTCTCCATGGACAGATGGGTGGGCAAAGTTGCCGTTGTTACTGGTGCTAGTTCTGGAATCGGAGCCGCTATTGCAGATGCTCTCGTAGAACAAGGCTTAATCGTAAGACCACCTTTCATCTCAACTAATAAATTCCTTAAACATTATTTTAGGTACTAGGTGTGGCTCGTCGCTCTGAACGTATAGAACAACGTGCCAAGCAACTCTCAGGCAAAAAAGGTAAACTCCATGCCATCAAAGCTGACTTAACCAAAGAGGAAGATATTCTGAAAATTTTTAAATGGTCGAAAGAAAATTTGGGACCCGTTCATATTCTTGTCAACAATGCCGGAAAAACGGCTTCAACAAACCTAACAGAAGGCAAAACTGAAGACTGGAAATCAGTTTTTGATCTAAACGTCATAGCACTGAGCATTGCCACACGAGAAGCAGTCAAAATCATGAAAGAGAACAAAATTAATGGCCACATCGTACACGTTAACAGCGTTTTGGGACATCAAGTGTTGTATCCAGGACTAAGCATGTACCCTCCGTCGAAATTTGCTGTCACCGCTCTGACTGAAAGTTTGAGACAAGAATTGAATCAGCAAGGTCTTAAAATAAAAATTACTGTAAGTTTCGTGATTGATATGATTTGTTGTTGATTTCGTCGTTTGCAGAGTGTTAGTCCTGGATTGGTTGAAAGCGAATTGAGTACTTTAAATCCGAATCTTACTCCCGAGAGAAGAGCTGCTATGGAACAGATGCCTATATTGAAAAGTGAGGATATTGCTGATGGTATTGTGTACGCACTCTCGACGCCGGAGCATGTTCAAGTAGGTTAAAAATTTTGTTGTTGTGTGCCTATTTCAGATTGTTTTAGATCCACGAACTTACTATTAAGCCTCTTGGTGAAAAGGTCTAAAAAAACTGGTCAATGAAATACAGACTGCAAGAAATGTTGGAGCTTTATATTTAATTCTAAAGAACGTGTTATGTAAACGGTTAAAAAATAAATTGTTTGTTGAAACCTAAAATCCAAAGCGATAATTAACAGCAGCTAACTCTGCTGCTACCTGCATCAAAGGAAGAGTTTTGATGATTAAAACGCTGATAGTCACAGTTGTAGTGGTAAATAACCGTAGTTTACTTTTTGTAAATTCCAGTAACAAAGAAGGCGACGAAGTCAAAAGAAATAACGGGAGAATTTGGTAACTTAGTGAAGTTTTCGTTTTGTATTGATTTGTAAATTAATCAAACTCTTATATTGGAAAGTGAAACGCCTGAAGTAGTGCCCCTGGATATTCAAGAAGGTGCTCAACGAGCGAGTAAAAATTATTACCCCCAAAATCGAGACTGTACAAAATCGCCTACAACAAAGTTTTAGACTGAGATGCAACATCAAAACGTTGCAAGCAAATTCATAAAAGACAATATTATTGTATTAGCATATTTTGAAAAAAGTCCCATATCTGGAAATCTTCCACTCTTTGGGCTCATTTTCCAGTGATAAAGTCATCTCTTCATATTAAACGAAACATAGGCATTGGAAAATGTTATAAGGTGTTTGCGTTTTTAAAACGTAAATCTGAAAGCTACGAGTACAGGCATTCTAACTAGGGACCAGATCGAAATATTCTTAAATACAGTCCCAGATGCACAGTTCTTAATGATGAAAGTGGCTGCAATTATAGAACTGTTTGGGGCATCTCGTCGTGAAGAACTTTACAAATTGAGTGTAGACAGTATTAAACATCTGGAAAATATGGTGTTAGTAGAAGTTCCAGACACTAAAACAAAAATTAAACGCATCTTCACCATAATTGGAAAATACATATAGGTACATCTGTTAAAACTTTTATGACTTAAGTAGCTTAAGCCAAATCACCCTTATAAGTCAAATTGGCTATTGTAAGCTTTATGGACCCGAACTGCAAGATTATTAATGTCCATTGTTTGCATAATATAGCTGTGAACTGAGTTAAGTAATACAATAGCCAGTTTGACTTATAAGAGTGGTTTGGCTTAAGCCGCTTAAGTCATAAATGTTTTAACAGGTGTATGTCAAATGAGGTTACTTTACAGAAAATACGTTTCTCTGAGACCTTCTAATGTCAGCCACCGTCAACTATTTTTCAGGTTTAGAAACAACAAATATCGATCTATTAGGTCATTATAATTTTGTTTCCAGGTATTCAAACAACAGATGCACTGTTCAGTCGATTGGTAAGGTACGAGACAACACAAAACTGAACGAAATTTATAAGTAAATTAATAAGTAATTTTGTTAACAGACTTATTGTGACAAATTCTTATCACGCTTAAAAGGGAAATAACTATCTAACTAAATGAAAACTAATTTAATACCCAATGTATTTTCTACCTGCTTCTATGAGATTGTAGACGCGTTGCTTCATAGAATTGACCAAATGGATAAAGTAATTGACGTCCAGATTCTCCCAAGCCGTCAAGATCCCATCTTTCAATTCATTAAAACTGTTGCGTACTGCTTCCTATCTTTATAAACCTCTCGTACAAGAGAATCCCATACATTCTTAATAGGGTTGAGATCCGGGCTTTCCGCAGGCCATGGTAGCAAAGCTATATTTTGTCGTTGAAACCACGTTTTCGATGAACTAGACACATGAATCGAAGCATCATCTTGCTGAAAAATCACTTTACTGTCTTGAAATAGGTTCAAATGTGGTTTGAGGTGCACTGCCAACACATCTTGGTAATCCAGAGAGTCCATTCGATTTGAAATAAATGCTAAGTTAGTACCTTAGATCATATAATAAATAGATACCAATACTCGAACTGAAAGGTGTGACTAGACATGAAGCTATCTGTTGTCGTTTTCTACGTCAAAGGGAGTAGTATAATGCTATCCTTGTGTGATCACCACATCTTCATCTTTGTTATATGCATTTCATCTGTATATGTCTATTTCACTTCCATCCTTGTACCGCACCAGCGCAACAAATCGCTTTTGACAGATGTTTCTTCTAACCTCTCATTCGTGTTCTTGTACGAAAAACAATTTTAGAATTTAGAACAAAGATGCTATTTTAAGTGATGTAATCATAAAGGATCACAATCCCTGCCCAATAATTTACTATTCCTTTCGTTATCTACTGTGAATTATGTTATTAGTTATTCGTTATCCTAAACATGTCGCAATCGCAACATGCTCGAGACATCGATCCAGGTGGAAATGTCGAAAAAGTGTGTAGAAAGTGCAAAGAAAAAGTCCAAGTTGTGTTTACTAAATGTGCAAAGTGTGACAAGTATTATCATAAAAGTTGTATGCAGCAACTCATAAATAGAGGTAAACAATTTACAACAATTACGGATAAAGTCATGTTATGCGAAGATCATTGCCGTGACATCAGTACAATTGAAGCAACTTTTCAAGATGCGATCCAAACACTTAAAATTGCAAATAACACCCTTAAGAAGGAAAATGACGACTTAAAAAAAAAACTAGAATTAACACAACTTCAATTGAAAAATGACCCACAAAACATTATCAGCCAGGTGAAAGCGGAATTCTCTGATTATTTCTTATCTATGAAAAAAGAAATCAATGATACTATAAATGGGAAGTTCATTGAACTTCAAAATTCGATGGTAATACCCGAAATTCAAGTCAACCAGGAGCAGAGTCTTCCTCCCAAAAAATCATACAGTGAAACAGTCAAACGTGAGAAAGACGTTGTTATATTAAGACCAAAAAAAACACAAGAGACATCAGCTACATTTGAAACACTGAAACAGAAAATCAAACCTGAACAAATTGAAGTTGGAATTACGAAAATTAAACCTTTAAAAGACGGCGGAATCGCCGTAACATGCAACAATCAAGAAGAGACTAGAAAACTAGAAGAGGTAGCAAAAGTTAACCTGGGTGATAATTTCCACATAAAAAAAATAGAATTGCGAAACCCCAAAATTAAAATTGTTGGACTCTTGATGTGGAAGACTTAAAAGAATGTCTCATTAAGCAAAACGCCGAACTTAAAGATATAACGGGTATTTTCAAACTCGTAACTTGCAAGAAAATGATCAAAAAATATTTAGCCATTATTGAAGTTGATCCAAACACTTTCTCCAAATTTATGGCCTTAAAAACAGTTTTTATACAATGGAGTGAGTGCGCCCTGTATGAACATGTTAACACTCTTAGATGTTTCAAATGTGGTGGCTTTAACCATATGGCTGAGAAATGTAAAGAAAATCATCCGAAATGTCTGAATTGTGGAAACGATGATCATTCTGAAAAAGAGTGTGAACAGGAACCCATATGTATAAACTGCGTGAAAGTCAACAAGAAATTAAATTTGCAGTTAAATATTGAACACTCTCGTTTTGATTGTAACTGTGAGGTATACAAAAGACAAGTGGAAATTAATAAAAATAAAATTAACTACATTGCATAGCAACCAACTGATAAAGAAGAAAACTTTAAGGTGCTTTTTCTAAACGTACAATGTTTGAGGAACAAAGTTAATATTATGGACGCATTGTTGCAAACTTATAAATTTGACGTTTTGTGCTTAAGTGAACACTGGCTCACCACCACTGAAACAGAATTTGTCTTCTTCGAAAAATTTATAACAGCAGCAGCTTATGCAAGAATGCAACATTCCCATGGAGGCGTTATCCAACTCGTTGATTACAATAAAAACTTCAGATCTTTAATTAATGTTACGAATTTATCAGTTGAAAAAGATTGTGAAATGGTAGGTACGTACTTCCTTGCATTTTATCTGTATATTGTTGTCATTTATAGATCACCTTCCGGAGACTTTAAAAATTTCATTGACAAAATAACACAAGTGTTTAACTGTTTAGACTTTAAAAATAGGAATATATTACTTGGTGGTGATTTTAATCTACATTTTGAGAAAAAGGATGATAAAACTGTTAAAGTTTTAACTGACTTAATGACAAGTTTCGGCATGAAACATTTAGTAAATTTTCCAACGAGAGGATTATCTCGCTTAGATAATGTTTACACTAATGTTACACCAGATTGTTGTAAAGTTATGCCGTTTAAGGATGATGTATCTGATCACACTGGTGTAGTGATATCGTTACAAAATATAATAGGTCTTAAAATATGCAAAGAAGACAAACAAGAAATTAAAATTGTAAAACCTATAACACAATATGGAAAATTTATCTTCTTCACTATACTTAGTAAAGCCGAGTGGGATTTCATAAATTCGGATATTGATATAGAAAATAAATTTACCATGTTTTTAAATACAATGTGCTACTACTTTGACTTAGCTTTTCCATCTAAAACAGTTGTTTCTTATAGACATAATTCTAATAATTGTAAATGGTTTACTAGTGACTTATATAAAATGAGAGGAACCTTAGAATTGATTAAAGATGCATATAAGTTACACGGTACTACAGAATTAAAAACACTCCTAGATTCGTATAAAAAGCGGTATAAATTATCTATTAAAAAAGCAAAAATCAACGCAGCAGAAAAATTTGTTTTTGATAACAAAAATAAGCCAAGAGCATTGTGGACCATTGTCAATAATCACAAAGCTAAGAAAAAACAAATTAATTGTAACATAACTCCTGATCAATTTAATCAACATTTTTCGACAATAGCACAATGTATTGTCAATAAGTTGCCTACTGCAAGTCGTGATCCAATATCTATTATGACAAACACCAGTATTATGCATAATTGTGTCTTTCTATTTAAAAAGGTATCCTGTGTCCAGGTAAGAGATGCTATAAATAGTTTACATAATAGCAACGCCAAAGATATATATGGTTTTTCTGTCCCATTAATAAAATATGTAAAAAATTTACTAATTTCTGAGATCACGAAATTGTGTAATTATTGTATAGAAGAAAATATCTTCCCTTCTTGTTTGAAAGTGGCCTTAGTTGTGCCTATACATAAAAAAGGAGACTCTGATGAATTAAACAATTACCGGCCTATTTCTCTTCTCCCTGTTTTGTCCAAGATATTAGAGAAACTACTGCTTAATCAAATTTTAGATTA